GCTGTGGCATCCAGGGCAGTACAAGAATTTGCAAGGCTGTTAATGAAAGCCCAGGAGGTGGTTGGACAGCAGCAGTTGCTGGGAGCAGAGGGTGTTTCTGATCAGCGCAGCAGGAGCTGAGCCCAGGGGCTGCTCCTCAAGGCTGAGGCCTCCCAAGCACGGATCAGAGCCCAGAGCGGCCTGGAAAGGGGCTGGGGATGCAGCAGCACAGGGAGAGTGATCCTGTGGGTATTTATTGATCAAGAGACACAAGGAATCCCTCAGCCACTGTCCCAGGGTCCTTCAGTAGTGCAGCTGGAGCAATCAATTGACTCAGACCCCCGTGTCCATGGCAGGATCATTTCTGTAGACAGTGTTTTCTTCTGGCTAGTCAAAGACCCTCTCGAGGGAGAGCCGGAGGGACTCCACAGAGCAGGACCTCCAGCACCTCCCTGCCAGGAAGTAGATGAAGGGTTTGATGCTGCAGTTGATGCAGGTGAGCAGGAAAAGAAAATGGGAGGGCACAGCAATGTAACCAAGCTGCTGCAGGAAATTGCAGAGGATGAAAAGGAGAGTGACGAGACCAATGGAGACAATAACGATGTCGAGCCCCTCGCGTTGCTTCTGCTCGGAGCCCCACTTAGCTTTAATTAAATTAATTGTGCTGGAAATGACCAGCACAGTTATGGGTGCGACAAGAAGCAGCAGGATAATGGCCCACACGGCGATGAGGGCTGCCTGGCAGGGCTCCTGATCATTTGATTGGCACTGGTATATCAGTGTGGGAATCTCAGTGAAGAGAGCAGAGAAAGCCCAAAACTGGACAATCATCCCCACCCAAAGCAGATCATTAGGAAGGTCAAGGCGGCAGCAGCGCTTCAAGAGCTTTTTGATATATATCGCAAGGCCGAAAGTCATCAGCCAGAGCGTCACCCAGTAACAGGAGAACAAAGAGAGCTGGAAAAGGAAACGCAGGTACAGCAGGGGCAAGATATGAGAGCAGGACACGTCCTCCACCAGGAGGATGAGGGAAGAGGGGACTGTGAGGAGAAGGAAGAGAAAGTCGGTGACAGCCATGCCACGGATGAAAAAGTATCACCTTTCAGGCTGAGGAGGCCGATGACAGCCCCATTCCCAGCCAGCCCACAGAGGCAGATGAGCAGTGTCACACTGTGGGTGGCCATGCTGGGGACATCTGTCCCACACAGATCATCTCCTTCAGTGGGTGAGGCAGGAGATGGGGACATGGTGGTCACCTCCATGGGTGGACGCTAGGCAGGCAGTGGGATGTGGCCCCTGGCTGAGGTCAGAGTGGATGGGCAGTCAGTGCTTGGAGAATCCAGGGATGGACCATGTGGCTCCTCAGCAGCTCCCTGCAGTGGGAAGGATTCAGTGGGGAGGAGTGAAGGTGAGGAGGGCAGTGGAAATTGTGGAATGGGAGAGGGAGGCAGTAAGGTTGGGCTGTTCAGCAGGGGATGCGGAA